CCTCCCCACATGCCTGGTGGGTTCCATGGCTGAGCAGGGAGATTTGAACCCTCGTCTCCAAGCCACTACGTCAGGGGTAGGCAACCTTTCCCCTTTAAGGGCCGAGGGACTTCAGCTCCCAGAATCCCAGGAGCTATTGGCCAACATGGGACTATTGGCCAACATGACTGAGGCTTCTGGGAGCTGAAGTCCCTCGGCCCTTAAAGGGGAAAGGTTGCCTACCCCTGCACTATGTCGTACTGCCTTCCCCCATCAAAAAAAATGAGTAAAGAGTGGCAGATAATCATTGAAAAAGATTTATTTGTGAAAATGGTGAATATTTTGTTCCAATTATTCTGTAATTTTACCAAACTAGATTTTATTTTTATTTGCCATCAAGTTGACTTTGACCAGGGGTAGGCAACCTCTTCCCTTTAAGGGCCAAGGGACTTCAGCTCCCAGAAGCCTCAGCCATGTTGGCCAATAGCTCCAGGGATTCTGGGAGCTGAAGTCCCTCGGCCCTTAAAGGGGAAAGGTTGCCTACCCCTGACTTTGACTTATAGTGATCATTCAGACAGATCTCCAACATCTCCAGTCATCAACTGCTCTGCTCAGGTCTTGCAAACACAGGGCCCTGGCTTCCTTCATTGAATCCATTCATCTCTAGTTTGATCTTTTTTCCTACTGCCATGCATTACAATCTTTCCCAGTGAGTCACACAGTCTCACGATATATCCAAAGTACAACAATCTTAGTTTAGTCCATAATTCAATCAGTGCCATAATTCAGATGCCAGTGACATACCTGGGATGACTTGTCTTTTGCCCAGCTCCACCACCAGTGGGTCACGGGAAAATGATGTATCGATAATGTGACCATCTTCAAGGGTACCCTGCCAAGATAGAATACTAGGCATGTGACTGGTGCCAACAGAGCTGACAACCTGCCCTATTCCTCAACTGATTAAAAAGTAAATAAATCTAGGACAATATTAAAGCTTTTTGTTTTAATATAAAGAGAGCAACACAACATCAAAGGCAAAGAAGATCTGGTAGCCACTGCAGTCTTGATAATGCTTTGTTGTTGAAAATTACTAATTAAAAAACAGATAAATGAATGGAAGAACCGAAATAAGAATGCATAGTAAGCAGAAAATAGATAAGTAGGAATAAAAGTGGATATTAACAATAGACATGAAGCATACATTGTACAAACTACTGTTTCACTATTTATTAATTTTATATTTTTTTCTTTGTTATAAAAATAAAGATAAAAAAAGAAAATTACTAATTACAAACTGGGGTGGCAGCTGCCATGTTAGGAATGGTATTCTTTTTTCAAAAGTTAATTTTTATTTAAAAATTTCCAGATACAATAAAAATTCACATAAAAGTAATAACTAAAAAAAGAGAAAGATAAAAAGATAATAGAAAAAAATCAATAAAGTGGAAGAAAGAAAAGAGAAAAAATAAGAAAATATATAGTGACTTCCAACTTTCTTTTCAAAAGCTATAATCTTTTAATATAAATAAAACTTCTTCTATTACACCTTATACCACATTAGTCTTCACAAGCAAAAAGGTAATAAAATATTTTGGTTTTTTGTTGAAAAAGTCTATAAAAGCTTTGCAGTCTTGAAAATGTGACTTTACAGATGCCCTTCCAGCTTCAGGCAGTCTTCTTTGTCTAGTAATCATTTTATTTATTTTTACTTTTATATTATTGTCAGTTATCCAGAAGTTGGCAGTATTTCATCATAATCTTCTTATAAACAATTTCCTTACATTTAGCCACTAGATAATAGTATTTCACCAAAAGGGTGAAAGAGGAAACTTTCTTCCATTTCCTTTTTCTTAGTTATGGTTAAATTCCATTGGTCCAATTGTAGACATAATTTTATTAAGCTTTGTCCATATTAAAATTTACTTTTATAAAACTCTTCCTTGCCCCCCACTCCTTAAAAAAAACTCCTTCCCCCCTTTTTTCTTTTACATACGCTTATGTGTACAGGTCAGGCAACTCATTGGGATGACAGTATAGTTGTTGAATTTAAAGTTTCTCTTCACTTTAATCCAAGTTTCTAGATTTAATTTAAAAAATGAGGCTTTTGTGATTTTAGAGTCCTTGCAAAATGTGGCTTGCTTATTTAGTGGGCAAGTTAGCTGTCATTCGGCGGGGGGCATTACTTGTACCCGATCACAGTTCATTTAGCAGTATCTGCTGGTGGCAAGTTCCCAGGGCATGTGTGGTTGATCTCTGGACCATCTCCTTTATCTAGAGAGGGAGATTTCACTAGTTGGATCTTGCCTCTGAACTGGCGATCACTGCTAAAAAGCCTCCTTGCTATGGAGCCCAAAGCAAAGGCTTCAAATTGCCATTTTGCCTCAGCAGATGTCTATTTTCTCTCCTGTGGGAGCGAATGCCTCTTCTAGGATAATGCCCATTGTGACATATGCATGCATGCATTGTCTAAAAATGACAGGGAAAAATGTTTCCACCTTCCTATTTTAATCCTATGCCAAACAATACAAGTGTAATCAACTTACAAATTTGTTCATTGACAAAAACTCATTTGATTGCATAGAATTAATGAAGTGACAGTACCAAGTATATTCAAATGTTAACACCTGAGTTTTTGTTTCTGATTCTGGGCCACAAAAAGTCTTACAGTACAATCCAATGTTATAGTTTCAACATTCGTTCTATTGAGTTTGGCTTACTCTCATGTACTTGTGCATACTATATAGAATGTACAGAACTGTTGTCTTAGTTTTTATTTTATTTTTTTGGAGTTGCTCAGACAGGTTTTGGCTAACATGTTCCAGAACTGTGAGCCATTTCAAAGACTCCTTGCTGTGAGACACAGAGGGGAAATGTCCAATTACTAGATGAGGTAGGAATGCCTGAAGCTAGGCTGCTGCTCTAAGCAAAATCTAATATATATACACACGGCAATAGTCTTTTTGTATGCATCCGTGTCTCTGTGTATGATTCTGTATCTATAAGAGACTGTGCTCTTTCCTTAAAGGTCTTCCCAAATGGAAAGAAGTCAGGGGATAATCTTTGGAAGGCTTCACTCTTTATCTTTTAAATATAATTGAATACTCAGCCTTTTAAATGCCTGTACTGCAGCCACTTACTCATAGACCACAAGGTTGCGAGTTCAATACTAGCCAGAGCTCAGTTTTGACTCAGGCCAGCATCCTTCTGAGGTCGCTAAAATGAGTACCCAACTGTTGGGGGGCAATGAGCTTACAGTTGTAAACCGCTTAGACATCCCACAGCGCGGTATGAAGCGGTATATAAATGAAGCTGCTTTGCTTTGCTTTGCTTTAAACCAATTAAAATTCTCCAGGTAGTTTATAGTAATAAAACAATGAAAAAGTCAAATTAAAAATCAAATACAGCAGCAAGAAGAAAGGGGAGCTCAGCACAAATTATATATTTTTTTATTAAGCCCAGATCTTTGGCCTTGAGCAGACGGAGCAAAAGGATCGGCCCTGATCATTCAGCATGGGACCACACCACGGTCCTGAGGCGGTCCACCATGGACCACCGGCAAGGAATGCTTTTTTCATGCTTTTTGTGCTGGTTTGGGCTGCTTTAGGCGGCTGTGGCACATCTTCTGCCTGATCCAGGGGCATATGTCATCTGAACACCATGCCACCGGATCAGGCGGCACTTTTGGTCCATCTGTTTCAGGGCTGGCAGAAAAAAGGTTTGGAACTCAACATGTCTCTTTGAGGAGAAAGTGAGATGTAGTGGCAGATCTGTCTTGCTATTCAGTAGAGCCATTCAGTGACTCTGCTTTTAGCTTTAAATGAGCTATCTACAATGCTGATAACTATCTCCCAAATAAGAACAAATCAAATCAATATAGCTGTGTTAGTCTATAGAATTAGTATGTAGAGAGATCTTGTAGCACCTTTGAGACTAAGTGAAAAAAAGAAGTTGGCAGCATGTGCTTTTGTAGACTTAAGTCTACTTCCTCAGATGCATTTGGACCAATTCAGCCAAAGAAAGTTGAACTACTGAAAAAAGATATATCAGAGCCAGCATTTCTTTGGTATGTGCCCTGAAAAATAGTGTCCTTTTTGTTAGAGAGACTTTTCTCTTTACATTACAAATATCCCAATAAAATAATATCCACACAGAGCTCTGAATGTGTTTGAACATAACATTTAAACCAAATGTGCTAAAACATTATTTAGAGCACTGGAACATTTTTGCTGGAAAATCCACATCACTGCTTCAAGGGCCACTTTCCACAACTAGTGGTCCTATGCACCTTTTGATATAGGACCCAACAGTATCTTTAGCCAGTGTGATGCACCTACCTCAGGGAAAAGATTTGGGTGTCCCAAAAGGGCAGCAAACCATACCTACTTAAATTAATATTATTTGTTTGTGGGAGTGGGGGTGTTCTCTCAGGCATAGGAAAGTATGATTATTGGATCTTCCGATTTATGTACCAGAATAATTTGGCAGCTTTTGGTACAATGCTTCTGGACTCGATTTTGGGAGTGGTACTTGCTGCTTTGCCTCAGGCAGCAGAACACAGGTTTAGTCTCCCTTATTCACAATTTCAGAATTTTCAAAAGTCCAAAATTGTTCACATGGGTGGTTGAGATAGTGACACCTTGGCTTTCTGACGGTTCAGTGTACAGAAACTTTGTTTCATGCACAAAATATTATGTCTAAAATTACCTTCAGGCTATGTGTATACGAAACATAAATGCATTTCATGTTTAGACTTGGGTTCCATCTCCTATATATCTCATGTATCTGCAAATATTCCAAAATCCAGGGGAAAAACCGGAAACCCAAAACACTTCTGGTCCCAAGCATTTTGGATAAGGGACACTTAACTTGTTTGTTTGTTGTTGCTTTTTTTGGAGGGGGTGTAATTTTGTGACACACAGGAATATATGATTTTGAGATCTTTTGATTTATGTATCAGAATAACATGGCTGGCTTTTGGTACATTGCACTTGGACTCAGGTTTGGGAGTGGTACCTACTGCTCTTGTGGCTTAGTGGTTTGAGTATTTCACTAGGACTCTAGAGACCAGAGTTCAAATCCTGGCTCAGCCATGTAAACCCACTGGGTGACCTTGGGCAAGTCACACTCTCTCAGCCTGAGGCTGGCAATGGCAAACCCCCTCTGAAGAAACTTGCCAAGAATACCCCAGGATAGGTTCACTTTAGGGTCCCCATAAGTTGGAAATGACTTGAAGGCACAACAACAACAACAAATTTGGGTCTGCTGCTATTTACAAGCCCTCATGTTTTTTAACAGGATCCAGGGGGGCGGCACTAAGCATGCCTCAGGATTCACCTTCTTGGTTCCAGTAGAACATTAAATGAAGGCTAGATTGACTTGAAATGATGTTTTAAAAGTGGTTGCCAGCCTTTAACCGTCCAGATGTTTCGAACTACAGCTCCCAGAAATCCTTTGTGGTGGCTGGGGCTTCTACGAGCTGGAGTCTGGGAACATCTGGCAAGTCATCCACGTGGCTGAGAACCACTGCTTGTTTCCAACAACCGCACTGCCTCTGTGTGTGTGTGTGTGTCAGGCAAGCTCTCCTTGCAAGTTCTGCTCATCTGTGCTTAGGGCATTGGGCGGGGGGACAAAACAAATCTTTCCTTGCTGGAATTACCATGGACCATATGGTGCAAAACTGCAAATGGTGCAGCTGAACCAGGCTCCACAAGAAAGGCTCCCACAATAAATCTAGATGTGTTTAGATATGTAATTATCTATCCAGATATGTAGATTATCTATAAATCTACATATCTAGACAAACATATACAAAGATATAGCAATGTTAGTCTGTAGAATCAGTATGTAGAGATCTTGTAGCACCTTTGAGATTAACTAAAGAAAGAAGTTGGCAGCATGAGCTTTCTTAGACTTAAAAGATCTCTCTCTACACACACACACACACACACACACTCTCTCTCTCTCTATATATATATATACACAAGATCTCTCTACACACAATATATAGTACATATAGTATGTATATATATAAAATGAGGGCCAGCAGGGTGTAATGGTTGGGGTGTTGGACTGGGACACTGGGAGATCAAGGTTTGAATCTTGGCTGGGTCATGCAAACCCACTGAGTGACCTTGGGAAAGACACACTCTCTCAGCCTGGGAGGATGGCCATGGCAAGAAATCTTGCCAAGGAAACTTCTTCTTGATAGAATTCAAATTAGTCTGTAGAGTCAGTATGTAGAGAGATTTTGTAGCACCTTTGAGACTAACCGAAAGGAAGAAGTTGGCAGCATGAGCTTTCCTAGACTTCAGTCTACTTCTTCAGATGCATTAGACATGTGAGGAAGCAGACTGCATCTGAGGAAGTAGACTGAAGTCTAGGAAAGCTCAAGCTGCCAATTTCTTCCTTTTTCCTGATAGGATCGAGCTGGGAGTCAAAAAGCCCTGCAGTCCAACACTGAAACCACTACCGCACGCAGCCTCTGTGTGTGTGTGCCCCTTCATAGTCCTTTCCGACTTATGGAGGTGACCCTACTAGGAGCAGATTTATGCAGAGGGAGCTGTTTTGCCTTCACCCTCCTTCTGAGGCTGAGAGAGTGTAGCTCGCCCAGGGCCACCCAGTGGGGTTCGGGGCCGAAGCTGGGAATCGAACCGGGATCTCCAGAGTCGCAGCCCGAGGCGCCAACCGCTACGCCACGGTGGCTCTCCGCGCAGCCTTGGTGCCCCTCCCACTTCTTCCCTAAAAGGGCAAGGGGGGCGGGGTCCGGGAGAGCCCCGCCCCGCGCGTCATCAGGGATTCCCGGCAGCCGCGGGAAAGCGCGCCTGGCGCTGACGTGTAGGAGCGAGCGCCTCCGCCGCCTCCCTCCC